TAAGATCCAGACACAGAGGAGACCCCCTACCCCCTCCTCAGTAAGACCCAGACACAGAAGAGACCCCCTGTCCCCTCCTCAATAAGATCCAGACACAGAGGAGACCCCCTGTCCCCTCCTCAGTAAGACCCGGGCACAGAAGAGACCAGCCCCCTTTACCTTTCTCCACTGTCCCATCACCATCGGACAGGATCACCCAAGGCACAGCCTTGGTGCCTTCAATCTGATAGACGACCCCCGTCCGGTCATCCACGGAGTAGAGCTTCCCATTGAAGACAATCAGGTCTGAGAGCTCCATGCCCCTCCCCTTTTCTGCCAGGTGGGACTTCAGGACCCCGGAGTCTTCATCCCACTCCACAGCCACCTTGTCCCCACTGTCCGACAGCGTCAGGTAGCCCTTCTTCAGGAAACTGAACCATGTGTTCTCCTCTTGGGCCTTTGACTCTGTGTCCAGGTCAGCAATGACTGCGATTCGGTACCGAATCCCACCTGGTGTCCTCTGGGGGACTGACAGGGGATAGGTGTCATTGTACGGGTTGGCAGGTGTCTGGCCCAGCCTCCAGTTGTGTGTGTTGTAGATGGGGGGCCTGCCTGGGGATGGGCGGTGGGAGTACAGCAGCCAGAGGACAGCGGCACCCACAAAGGACGGCAGGATCACCCTCCAACGTGGGCGGAAGCGGGGGTCTGCAGCCTTGGTCATGGACGCCAGCACAGGAAGGCCCCCCACGCTGATCCGCAGGGAGTGCATAGACTCATTCCATTCCGGGCGGTCAGAGGGCGGGATGGGCATCAGACTGAAGGTTGGGTGGGACCTACACGCCGGGGAGAGGGAGGTTAGGGGAGCAGTTACTGGAACCTGCACGCCTGAGGTCCGGTGCATCCAGAAGAAACAGTATTTCTATTGCCTGTGGCCACTTCCACTTTCTTGGCTTAACTTCACCCTGACTCTAGCAGTATCTTTGTTTATTCTTAGTCAACAAGATGTGAAGTCTTTCTAGAGCAAAATTATTTCCATTTCACTGTCCCAGCTGGCAAGACAGAAAGCTAGGGAGAAAAGGAAGCTTCGTGTAGGTCGGCACTTTGTAATCTCTAAAGAGAGAAGAGCAGGAGAGTCAGGGCAGCAGGGGAACGCAGAGGCGCCACCTCACCCAAAAGGCCCTCCCTGACAGCCCTGCTCCTGACACCACTTTCTTTCTTTGGCGTATGTCCCCACTCGGTGCCCTGGTTACTGGAACAGTCCCTAGCACAGACCTGACCAAGGAGCCTATGCTTCCACCAGGTGAGGCTCCTGGAGGACTCGAATGTCAAACACTGCTTGTGTGCTGCCCTTGGTGTTGGCAGCACCTGGCCCCTGGCCCCTGGCCCCTTTCTACTGATGCAAGTGGTGGCTGAAACCAGAGCCCCAGTGGCTCCTACTGCTGGGAGTCCAGTATATGTGTGCATTGGCTCCCAAGGACTGCTGGGCTCACAGCCCCAGGCGCTTCCCTGGCCACCCCTTACCCTGGTGTAGTGACTCAGCAGTCTTATGATTGGGGTGTTGGTGGTGGCCGCAAACTGCAGTCCTTCACCCACCACCACTTCCCGCGCATAGAGAGTGACAACTCAGTGTGGCCTGTCTGGCCCACCACAGTGGTGAGCTGACTCCAGGCAGCTGCCAGGTGCCAGGGATGTTGAGTGGTAGCTTTTGGCCTGGCAGCCGCAGCTCAGCACACCCGGCCTCAGACATCACTTATGGGGCTAGTGGAGTGTCCTGTGCTCCTCCTGAGTAAAGCCACAGCATGTGACTTAGGGGCAGATGCTGTTTCACTGCTAGGCAGCACCTAAGAAGGGTTTGGGGACTCCAATGGCTCTGTGTGACCCTGGGTCCTGAGTGTACCCCAACCATAAGGCCTACCGTTGGATGGCCACAGAGGCGCCCCTGCCCCAGGCTCCTCTGCTCCCAGAGAGGCAAAACCAGGACCCTGGTCCCAGGTAGAAAGGACAGTTTTAGGTTTTTAGACCAGAAGGTCAACGACTCTGCACGCCTGGGGCCTGCTACTCAGAGAGACTTTGGAAGGGCATCTGTGTTTCTCAGCACTGTGGTAACCTCAACCACTGCCCCTGGGAGGGTTACAGGGCTGTTGTGAGGCCTTGGGGTGGGGGCTGGAGTCTGATGCTAGCCACTTCCCCTGGCCCCCTAGCCGGACCCAGGATTATCTACAGCCTGGGTGTAGTCAAGGCTGAGCCCTTAGATTCAGTATCTTAGCTCCTACTCAAAATTCCACCTGCATTTCTATCACGCATCCTGAAGACACTATTTTAAAATCTAAGTCCTACTTCTCTCTCTCCTCAAGGATACCTGCCCAACATCCGCTCTCAGGAATGGTAGTGACAGGCAGCTGCCACCTTCCCAACACCAAGCTCACTCGGGAACCCTGGGGATGCACTTTCCTAGTGTAAAACTTCCACAAAGAGCCACAGACCACCAACACCCATGCAGCAGCCACACCCCTCCCTGCTCCTCCCACACTGACCACACTAGCAGCTTGCCCATGCGAAGCTGGGTTTCCTCTCCACAGGCTCTGGCCAGTCCCATGGCCACATCTCACCCAAACCACATCGACAGTCCCCTCAGTTCCTCCTGACAAACCTTCACCTCCCAGCGGCCAGTGCCCCTGTGATGCAGTGACGTGAGCACAACCCACATTCTGGGCTTTAGAGGTGTCCCTGCTAGCAGCCGGGCAGGGAATACCAACTCCACACACATTTGCTGAAGGGACAGCAGTGGGGGGGGGGGGAGTTCCCCTGACCCATGTCAGACTGCAGTGCCCTGCACGCTTGCGCCCCACCTTCATTCACTGTGAACCCATAGCTCTAGATCAAGGCCTGGAAGTCAAGCTGCTCAGTTGCCCTCTTCTGAGCTGCAGGTCCAGGAAGACCATGGCCTCAGTGTAGACAGGCAGGCATTGTGAGGTGTCTGCACTGGCCCTGGAGCCCTTCAATGGCCCCTGCATCCTAGGAGTCACCATCCACACCTTCGCCAACTCTCCAGCCCACTTTCTCCTAGCAGGCCACTCCATGGCCACCTTCAGAGGGCAAGGCCCCTGAGTGGAGCCCACACCTGCCTGCACCAGGGGAGAAGAGATGGCTCACCTGCTGCTGGGGTATACTGCCTCCTCAGCACACATACACCTGTTCTTAGGGCTCCTGCCTCAGGTCTACAGAAGGCCCGAGTCTCCCATCCAATCACTGTTACTTTCGGGGATGCTGCAGGACCTCAAGCCCTACTGAGTGAGCAAGAAGCCGTGCCCTGAGCCCCACTTACCATCCTGGCAGGGCGCCTGCACCTTCTTCCTCGGCTGCTCTGTGACCTGGGTCTGCCCCAGAAGCAGCTGACCCTCAGGTCCGCACCTACCCACTCAGCCAATGAGCATTTTCCACGTTCTGTTCCTCTCCAAGTCAGCAGGTGCTCCCTGCTGGCCTCTGCAGACCTGTAGCCCTGCCAGCGTGGTGCAGCCCTCTTCTCATCCAGTGTCTCTTCCAGGACCAATCCCAGGGCCTAACTTCCTCATAAAGACTCTGGCCCCACCCTTGCCTTTCTAGTCTGACCCTTTCCCCAATTCAGACTCAGGCTCCAGCCCCGAGGCTCCCCACCTGATGCCCTGCAGGCACCTCCAACAGGTTCCTGCCCAAGAACTCATCCTGGTGAAGGACAGCCTGGCTGTCCCAACCTATCTCCCTCCCCGGCCCCTCATTCGACCCCATCCCCACTCTGGACGCTGCCTTAGGCCTGCCTCACCAGGATGACTTCAAAGGCCCTTAACGATACAGACCATGTAGGTCCAGACCTCAGCTGTGCCATCTACCAGTTCTGTGACCTCAGCTCAGGGACTTCTTTCTCTCAGCCTGTTTGTCTCCCAGAGCCGTGCTGACTCCCAGGTCAGATGCCCTGAGCCCCACTTACCATCCCGGCATCTGCACCTTCCTCCTTGGTTGTACTGTGACCTGGGTCTGCCCCAGAAGCAGCTGACCCTCAAGCCCACACCTGCCGGGTCAGCCAATGGGTAAAGTACCCTGCTGGGGCCTTGCCTCCCTCCTCACTCACCCTACAAGCACCTTTGCCTGCCTAATGCCTGGAGGGTTGGCAAACTACCACCATGGGCTAAATGCGACATCAGCTGGGCCCACTTCTTTGCATTGTGAGGCTCCAGAGCTGGTGACTGCAGCAGACCACGCAGCCTGCAAACGTCCTAGTGCAGACCCTGGTTCAGACCACTTCAAACCATCCTCCACCATACTGACAGGATGATTCTTCTAAAAGGCGAATCTGTATTTAACTTTCAGCAGATCCCTTCCCTTCCCAGAGGAAGCCCCACTTGGCTTTCAGCCCCATCTCTGGGACCGCTCTGCCTGTCCTGCACTGGTTACCCCAGTCCCATACTGTGTGTGTCTGGACTCGGCAGGGGTGCTTCCTCTCCGGGTTGCTACTCTCTGCTGACCACACAGAACCATCTGGAAGTCCCTGGATGTACCCCCACAGTCAAACTTTCACTGTCCCTCCCACTCCTGCCCTGTATCTAGGGTGAGGTCTCTGTGCCCAGGAGAGGCTGACACTGGCCCTAAGCTATCCAGGCCCAATTCCCTGGAACCTGGGAATGTGGCTCTTTATGGCAATACAGACCTTGCAGATGTGATCAGGGTCACTGGAGGGGAGGTGATCCAGGAGGGCCTAAGTACAACCCTAAATGTTTTTCATAAGTGGAGGTTGGTGTAGATAAAGGGCAAAAGGCATGTGACCCCAGAGGCAGAGATGGGAGTGACATGGATGCAAGCCAAGGAGTGCGTGGGGTCCCTGGGAGCTAGGAGGAGCAAGACAGGTCCTGCCCCAGTGCCCTCAGATGGAGCCCGGCCCAGCACCTTGGAGTGGTCCAGGGACACCAACACCAGATCCAATCCCTGTGAGCTGTCAAGTCTCCATCACAGAACAATGCATGTGGCTTTAAGTTGGTGGCAATCTGAAAAAAAGAACACCTTCTGACTTGTGTCCCCTATGTCCCTCTGTACCTGGGACACCCGAGACAGTATAGACTACACCTGCTGCGGTGGTCTGCTTGGCCGCCCCCACCACACTGGGCTCCTAGAGGGAAGGGTGGTGCCCACTCCCAAGCCTAGCAGGGCACACACCCAGGACTCAGGCGCCTCTGGGTAAACAAGAGAACCACTGCTTTCAGCGACAAAACTCTGCCTTCTAGAAATTTTAACTTCACTAGCATACCTCACCTTGGTCTCCTGCCTCCCATCATACCTCAAAGAATTACTTTTATTTTGCAGAAAAGAAAGTTTCCAATCTGATGCCTTTTGATCCTTTTCTATAACCCAAGCCAGCTGTCAGCCATCACCCAAACCCCACAGTCGGTGCCTGCCACGCTCCTGTGCCGTGAGTCTGCTCAACAGGAAGAATGGAGCCTCCGCGTTGAGCGCCAGCGGCAGAGGCCTCTCTCCTTCCCACACCCTCTAAACTCTAACCTATGTAAATGTTTGCTTTTTCAGGACAAGAAGTTTGTCAAGCTCATCACCTGCAGCATGATGGTCTGGTTTTATATAATCAGGAAGAAGAGGACCCAGGAGCTACAGTAAAAAGGAGGGGGCTCTTTGCCAGCCAAGCTCACCTGCGGGGCAGGCCTGCACACAAAGTCCTCCCAGGCTCAGAAACCCACGGGCCGCACCCCTGCAGCCACCATTTCTCCCCCACGAAGTCCCTGGAAAGAGCAACTTTGAGGAGGACTGGTACGCAAAGGCTCTGAGTCCTAATTCCTCCCACCTCCCTTGCAGGCAGGTGCCGAGAAAGGCCGGCACTCAGGCATTCCTGGTTTCTCTGCTGAGCAGGCCTGAGAAAGCAAGAACAGCTGTGGTCAGATGTGTCTTTGTCCACCCAACAGGACACCCCCAGATAGCAAAGGGAACAGCAGGAGTGAGGAGCCAGGGTGTTCTCTCCATGTACACCTGGAGGCCGT